TCTTCTTCCTCGGGTACTTGCAGACCTTCGATGCACAAGATGCTCCGACAGCGCTTCAGCATGGCTCACAGGTATAATGAATGAATGATTTGACGCTGCCTCTTTATTACTCCAGATCGGGTACTTGCAGACCTTCGATGCACAAGACTCTCCGACAGCGCTTCAGCATGGCTCACAGGTATAATGAATGAATGATTTGACGCTGCCTCTTTATTACTCCAGATCGGGTACTTGCAGACCTTCGATGCACAAGACTCTCCGACAGCGCTTCAGCATGGCTCACAGGTATAATGAATGAATGATTTGACGCTGCCTCTTTATTACTCCAGATCGTCGGTGGTGTGGCCTCTTGACCCGGGCCCGGGATGGACACAGTCCCACTTGGTGCTTGCTGAGTAGACTAGGATAGACCGGGACTGGGTACCGCTGACTATACGAAGTAGGATTGGGAATGCCCTTTGCTGACTGTGCTAGGGCTATCCCTCACTCACCCATCTACGAATCGACTCCTTCGACCTACAAAGAGCCAGTTCGGATACATCTAGAAGGTCCTAGACTTTACCTTTCAGAACTATAGAAGCTACAACCTAGACTGACCCTACGACTGCTAAACCTAAAGTCTACGGGTCAAACCCATGCGACCTATGTACAACAGTCGAACATGCGACTTTCAGGGCTAAGTCGCAGGTTCAAAAACACAGGGTCCACGGGTACTGCACACGGCTATGGGACAGTTCTAGGGATCAAGCCCTGTACACAGATGGTAGTACCCAATTTGCGAAGTAAACAGCCATTACTGTCAAGAATAAGCAAATGGAAATTATAAATGATGTACATCTTCTTGAGTATAACACATCTGTTATGCGACATAGGTGAAACCGTTTCATGACAATCAGATTGTTGTTAAAGCCCCTGTTAATAGCTGATCATGTTGTGTACAACACTCACCAACGATCGGACCCTATTTTGACCTCATATTTGTTCTCATTACGATCCAGGTCATTCCCAAAGTGCAAATTCACAATGAAAGACAATGCCACCCAACTGTGAAAGAAATGAAAGCACTTGCAGAGAAATAGAGACCAAAGAAGAGAGAAAGAAGAAGAAGAAGAAGAAGAAGAAGCAGAAGAAGATGTACACCAGCAAGACCAATGACAAATCCCCCGTCTCTCTCCACCTTCCTCCTTCACTTCGCCAATCTTATTCTTTTTCTTCCAATAATGATAATAACAATGAGTGGATGAACCAGAATCAATATCCGAAGTTCCCTCTTACTGCTGACACAACAACAGGTCCACCATAGCCGAGGCTTCCCCCTTTTTCGTCCTCTCACGCGCGTAGGCTATGGCGGACTACTAAGGGCCCTGGCCTCCTGTCTAGAGGACAACCCAAAGCAGCTATGGCGGTGCACTCCTGTCCAAAGGACAACACAAAGCAGCTATGCCGCTGCTAACTAAGCCGCCATGCCTGACTCTGCCTCAAGATTCCTTGGTGTGGCGGCCTAGTGACCAGCGTTATAGCTGCTTTGCCTTGTCCTTTGCACAGGGACGCAGCGACATAGCTGCTTTGGGTTGTCCTTTGGACAGGAGGGTAGAGCCCTCAGTGCTCCGCCATAGCCTCGGCCTGCATGTAGAGGAAGAGGAAGGGTGGCCATGGCTATTGTGGACCTAATATTGTGCCCGCAGGAGAAGTGGCATTCAGAAATTGATTTTGGTTCAACCATTCAACATTATTATTGTTATTTCTTGTTTGAAAAAGAGGGGAGGAGATAAGGAGGAGGAGATTGGTTGGCGAAGAAGAAGAGCCTTGTCATTGGTCTATGCTGGAGTACATCATCTTCTTCTTCTTTCTTCTTCTTCTTCTTCTTCTTCTTTCCCTCTCTCTCCTCTCAAGTTCATTCATTTATTTTTGTAAGTGGACGACATTGTACTTTTCGATCAATGTATACTTCGAAATTGGCCAAGATTGTAACGTTGGTATCAGAGTGGATTCTACTTGCTGGCGAGAGTGGACTTTGCTGCCATAACCGTAACCCTAGTGGTAAGGGCTAACCACCTAGGGTTAGGGCGGAAGTTAGGGTTAAGTGGGTCAGCGTGGTAAAGGGAAGCTGCGCCCATCTGGCAGGGCCGTGTAGGGTTGACATTAGACCTGGCCAGGTAGCTTGTGTGCATGTTTCTGGTGGCGAGGCACAAGGTGGGACTTCGTGATGCAATTTGAGAGAGGGGAGAGTGAAGGGCACCTACAATTGGAATCTGGACTCCAAGGAAAACGAGGAGTGACTCGAGGGGTCCCCTCAAGTTAGGCGAGCTTGAGGGTGGCAGCCATATCTTCACGTACGGACTGCAAGGTGCTACTTTGATCTTCAACATCGACGGGGGATCCGATGTTGTACTTTGGGGTAGATGTTGACCCTCCTAAAATGATAGGACACTAGTGTAGAGGATGCTAATTGGGTCAGGAGGACTATGTAATAGCGGGGTGAGTTTCGTTCATCTCAACAGCCCGGCCACTCAGGTGAGTGTCGTGCCGCCAGGTTGCCCATGTGTGTGCGCATGGAATTGACTGCCTGCTGGTGTATTTTGGGTTCTTCTTCCATCCTCCATAGTCTTGAGGTGTGTGAACTGCTTACTCACTCGACGAGTGAATGAATGGAGTATCTTGCTTGCCATGCTATATCTTTCTACAATGCTTTGTTTATTTCATTTTGAACAGCTGTAGTCTGTAGGTTCTTTCTAAGGCTAAATTTCGTTTTTCAATTCGGTAGGGACGAAGAGTAGGTCTTTGTGGAACTTCTGTTGGGTGGGATCTGGTTTTGACTCCACTGGGACCAATTGGGACTCAGTGGGACTGGGGCCAAACAAGAAGGGCCCCTCAGGCCCAAATCTGTTGACGTCAGTTACCTTGTTCCGATTGGGACTCGGAGTTCATGCTTTCGGACCAGGACACTCGCTGCTGAGGGGATCTCAGCTGAGACGTTTTAACAAACTTCACCACACGGTCCGCCGCCTGACTCACACCTTGGACACCACTCAATTCTCTCTTGCATTACGTAGTACACTTTGAAGTTGATTTGTTGTCTTCACGGAGCTGAGTCCGGCTAGGCTTGAGAGGACCTCATACGTAGTTGGACCAGACTCTTTCTGATCTTTCTGATCTTTTATTTTTTTGTTGTTTTGACAGCTCTCCAGTCCAAATGAATTGCCGCTCCGGCTAGGAGTTCTACCTACTTTTCTAGTTGCTTTCAGGACTATTTCTTTCATTGGGTTTACACAATCGCAAACGAGAGAGAGAGAGAGAAGAGAAAGAAGCTTTTGAGTGTTGCTCTCGAGGGAGTGAGGAGAGGAGAGGAGTGTTTGTCCCAAAAGTGTGAGGAAGTACGGACCTCTCTTGGGAGACTTATTGACACCCTCGTCCTCTATCATGGCATTTGCAACAGAATGGAAGTTGCAAATGGACGCTGCCCCTGAGGCAGAAAAAGCGTAGTACTAGTTCTTTTATGAAAAAACATTGAAGAGGGAAGAGGAGAAGGAGAAGGAGAGGGGTGACAAAGTAAAGGCTTATGAAGTCGTCTTTAGCACCGTGCCCTTCTGAACTGATGATGAGGTGGAAGAAAAGACTTTCCCACTCCTCAGGGCTTTAGTAGAGGTTCGGGTTGTTGAAGATCATATAGGCCAATTTGCCAAGGTGTTTGATGAACTCGAGAAGTTGCGCGAGGATATGACCCCGATAGCGCAGCAGCACCGTGACCAGCTGCAACAGTTTGCTAGCTTGCAGGTTGCCCACAGTGTTCTTCCGGTTGCTTATCCTGCTTCTAGTGCTGCGTAGCAGTCCTATCTTGCCCCTCCAACCATCTGTTCTTCTTCTTCTTCTTCTTCTTTGAGTCTGGCCAACAACCTCACCGGATCTGCAGCACGTCCAGATCCCGTTATTGTTGCTGCTCCTGCTGCAGCGGCAAGTGGCAGTGCAGGGCGTTTTGAAACTATTGTAGCTCCAAAATTCGGACCCAGCAATCGTTGGTCCTAGGTGTAGCTTTCCTTGAGTGGACAGGAAAGCGACACAAATTTCGTCGAAGTATGACAGAAAGGACAACATTGAATCTTGGATCAACTCTATGCGATCCTACTTTGATGTGCTGGGGGCACCCCCAGTTACTCAATCGTTGGTCCTACGGACCAATGTGGAACCTGCCGTAAGGCGCTTCTTAGAAGTCGAGTTGTACAGTCAAGCTATAAAAGAATAGACCTGAACAAATGCCTGAATGTTACTCCTATACGCGCACTCGAGGAACTCTTGATCGAACAATATGCTGATCCACATGCTGCAGTCAAAGTTTAGACTTAAGCTTGATAGTCTGCATAGTCCTCATAGTCTGCAACATGCATAGTCCGCAGAAGTATGTTAGTAAACTCTTTGCTACTCCAGATTTGGAGATGACTGCGCAATCTTGCTTGGATGTGATAAATGGTACGGTCCCCTCTACGGTGACACATCGCATGAGGCTCGGACTTATAACGTATACAGATTGGCTTACCCTCATGCGGTATTTAGTCAAGCGGGAGGTACAAGACCTCCCAGGTGGATCGGGTGGCAAAAAAAACACAGGCCGCAAACGGTTTCTAGGCAGCAATCAACCTCATGATCTACTTTAGGTTGACGAGGAGACCTTCGTAGAGGACCCTTCTCTTGATGACGATCAAGAGAAAGACGACGAGCCATCTTGCTCTTCGTCAGCCCATGAATCCGAGTATGTAAATGACGATGAATCTATGAATGCCTTAAAAAAGACTGCCTTCAAAAAGTAAGGGACTGAGGACCACAGTGATAACACCATTCTCCTTCCCAAGGGAGCGAAGATTCTACCCAAACCGGAAGATCCTGCCACAAAGCCATGCGTAGATCTCCGAATCAGTGAAAGTGAGTGGAAACACATGGTGAAGAAAGAGGTTTGCCTGCACTGCATCAAACCGGGACACTTAGTCCAACATTGTTTGAGATTGCAGCTGGGAAACCAACAACGGGGGTAGAGAGCTCATCAGCACACTCTACAGACGGAGAGGCCTAACATGTAAGTGCAAATCCTTCACTCGATTTTGCTCCCACTCAGCAAACCTCTCCTGAGACGCCATCTGATGCTGATTCCAACGCTGAGAAAGTGCACATCCTATACAAGGAGCCTTGGGTGGAGTTGGAAGAAATGGACTTTCATGCTCTCTTGACACACTGAGCTCACATGAAGCAAGAACGCGTGCAAGGGAAAACGAAGTTTATCTTTTTCAAACTCCACATTAACTGTCGTTTCATCTGTGTGTTGGCTGATTGTGGAGCAACCGCCAACTACTTCTCACCGCACGACATTCGTGAGGCACGCTAGGGAATGAAGCATGTGACTTTGTAGAATCCTTGTCGGACCCAAGTGGGCAACCAAGAGGTTGTCACATCTACGCATGCAGCTCAAAATGTGCTCATTACCTTTGACGCAGACCGCACAATCACGCATGAGTTGAACTTCTACATCCTTGATAAGTGCCCCTTCGACGCGGTTATTGGCTTGGGCTGGTTGCAGGCCCAATGTGAAAGAACCACGTGGAAGGACTCACAATTCATGGTCAAAGATGCCATGGGAATCGAGTGTCCAGTCCTCTTGGATGAGCGTAAAGTCCCAAGTAACTTTTCTCAATGCAATGCAATTCTGCAAAAAGTGGCGCAGGCAAAAAGTTGATGAGCAAATGTATATAGCCTTTGTTAGGCTTGCTCATGTGCCTTCTATTTTTGTTGTACATAATAATTCTACTTTGCATGTCGTTTCTACTTCTATTGCAACTACTTCTACCTCTACTAAGTTTACTTCTAGTCCAAACGACTCTACTTCAAATTCTGTTGTTTTGGCTGCACCTATGCAATCTGGTAATGCTTGCACCTGAAAGTCATGATCCACCTCTGGAAGTCCCATCAGAAATCTGCAACCTTCTCAACCGATTTCCTGAAGTCTTGGTCGAATGGCATGGAGTCCCTGTGTTTTCGATCTGACACCAGATTGAGTTGATAGAAGGTAGCACTCCTCGAAAAAGTTGTATCTATCTAATGGGCTCAAATGAATTGGAAGAGTTGCAAAGATAGATCGATGACATGATTGGGAAGGGATGGATCAAGCCAAGTGAATCTGAATTCGGTGCACCCGTTCTGTTTGTCCCGAAGAAAGGAGGCAAACTACGGATCCTATTGATTACCACGGGCTGAATAGAATAACAAGAAAGAATGCATACCCTTTGCCACGTATTGATGATCTACTTGATGTTGCAGGTGGATGCAAGGTTTTCAACAAGATCGATCTCAAGTCTGGTTACCACCAGATTTAAGTCGACCCTGCAGGCCAGCATAAAACTGCATTCAAAACTCGCGATGGTATGTACGAGTTTACGGTCATGCCCTTCGGCCTGACGAATGCACCGACTACCTTTCGAAGTATTATGGATAAGGTGTTTTGCAATCAGATCAATTGATTTGTTGTTGTTTATTTGGATGACATACTAATCTTCAGCAAGTCGATGGAGAAGCACATGAGACACCTTGAGGAGGTGTTGCAGATCCTCAAGAGTGCGCAACTCCTCAACTTGGAGAAATTTGAGTTTGGGAGGGACAGCGTCATCTACCTTGGACATCGGTTGTTTGTTGCAGGCCTAGAGCCCGGGGCAACCAAAGTTTAGGTCATCCCGCAAATGGCCTCAACGGACAAATGTCTGCGAGTTTCGTTTTTTTTTTTGGTCTTGCATCATACTATCGTAAGTTTGTTCCCAAATTCTCTATCATTGACCGACCTCTGTCCAGATTGACCAGCAAGAATGTGTCCTACACATGGGATGGGAAATGCACAACATCCTTTCAAGCATTGAAGGAGGCTTTGGCGAGTCATCCTGCGCTTCGTAGTAACTACGGATGCAAGCTTGTATGGGATTGGTGGAGTGCTACAACAAGATGATGGCGATGACTTACGTCGGCGCAAATTCTAAAACAAACGTATGTCAGTCACAAGGTATCTGCCTCCACTTACATATGAGACCTTTATGCCTTGAGATAGGCAGCAGATCATTGGAAGCACTACCTCTTGGGTCGCCATTTCAAAGTGTTATTAGACCACGAGACTTTGAAATGGATTCAGACACATAATAATCCATCAACTACATTGACACCCTGGCTGCTACAAGAAAGGCACAAGAAAGGCTGCTACAATCGTGTGGCGGATGATGCTACCTCACCACCTAGAGTACACGACTTGTCTTGTGGGCTCCTATGATCTCCGTAAGAACTTGAAGGAGGAACTAGTTGAGCATACTGCCAAGGACCCAAAACTCAGTCCCATCCTTGAGCAGATCCTGGCTGACCCTAGCAGTCAGGCCGAGTGCAAAGGTTTGCTCTTCCGACGTTACGGGAAGTACCGCCTGTGTGTACCCAATCTTGAGCCTATCTGTACTCACTTTTTGGACTTGGCTCATGGCCGGGGTGGGCACTTCGGTTTTGAAAAGACATACGGAAGTCTGTTGCAAAGGTTTGTATGGCCTGGGATGAAAGGAATGACAGGAAAGTTTGTGGCTGAGTGTGAAGTTTGTCAATGCATCAAATAGTGTCGACCGAAGCCCTATGGGATCTTTATCCTCTTCCTATTTTTGATGGCCCGGGTGAGTCTCTTTCCATCGAGTTCATGGACATGGGAAAGAAAGAGTAGGAATGAATATTCACAAATAATGGTGATTGTTGACCACTTTTGACAATTTGTGAATTTGATCCCACTACCACCTCAGGCCCCAACTTACCTTGTGATCAAAGAGTTTCACAAGAAGTACATTTTGCAGTGTGGGCTCCCGAAAACTCTTGTGAGTGACCGGGACATTAGGTTCATAAGTGTAGATTGGAAGGACTTCACCCCCCAGATCTATGGCATCAATCTCAAGATGACATCGGGTCGACATCGCGTAGCCAATGAAATGGCCGAGGAGATTAACCAAACCGTGATCCAACTTCTGTGAGCTCAAATTGTGCCTGAGCAGAACTCTTGGGATGTTGAATTGCCGATTGTGCAGGGGTTGTACAACAACTCCATACACTCTCCACCGCGATGACACCTAACTGGTTGCACCTTGGGTGGAAAATTTGCAATCCCCTATCCTATCTTTTTCCTGACCAGCCACCTGGACTAACACCTGGCCAGCCATGCTACAGTGCTAAGTTTGATCGCTTGCTCGAAGTGGCCGTCGAAGCTATGGAAAGGCGATGCAATGCCATGATTAAGCATGCTAACAAAAAGTGTCAGCCCACACCTTTTAGAGTGGTAAGTTATGTCGGGGTCAAAATGTTTGAGTTTTCTGAAGGTGTATCCCGAAAGCTTCTTCCTCAGTATTACGGTCCGTGGAAGGTGCTGAACCAAGTAGGGGAAGATTCATTTGGTCCTCCTTGCATGATCGACGTGCCTACTCATCTGCGCACGTACTCGGTCTTTCACGTGTCAAAGTTGTTTCCGTATGAACCACCCGAAACTTTTTCGTATCTAGAATCGATGATTCCTCGGGCAATTAATGGCGGCCACGAGATTGATAGAATTGTTGAGCACAGTGGAAAGGGGAGAACCAGACAGGGCAAAGTTCATTTTTTGTACCACCCGTTGAATGACTTTTACTGGATCGCTAAGAAAGACTTGTTGAGGAGTGCCCCGCGAGTCGTCAACGCATATGAACGACTGATTAGCTCCGAACAGCAACCTAAATTCACGCCTACCCTCACTCCTACGGAACATACTTTATCTCTATTTGCTATTTACGCTTATGATGCATTATGCAGGGACTCTAATTGAGTTACTCGCTCGAAGGGACCTCGCTTTGTAGGGGGGGTAGTGTAATGACCCGTCATAACACAGACTTAGCACACTGCTGATTTGTGAAGTTCTGTCGATGGAATGTATGCGTCGCTAAGATTCCCGCATTCTGCTGAGTTTTCTAAGTTTTTATGTGTGCGTGCCTGTTGACTTCTCTTAGTACTTGTCGGCACGAGTGTGTGTGTGACCCGCAATGGTACTAGCTTGTTTGGGATGCCCGTAGGGCCGGTTCTTACCTGTGGTCGTGGCATTGAGGGTTGCAGCAGGGGAAAACACTCAAGTGGTGGAGCCAGAGGCCTGCGGCCCTTGGAGTAGCGTAAAAACACTCAAGTAGCAGGTAGGTCGGTACCGCACCCAGTAGCAGTAGATGTGTCGGGTACTCGAGGTCGAGCAGAAGAAGACAAAGTTGGCATTTTTAGAGGCCCAGTAGTGGTAGGCTAGATCTAGGCCGGTACCAGTCCATCCATTCTGAGTCTAGAGCCTGTACAGGCAATATACGAGTCTGCAATGATGTTTCCCCCCGAAAGGGAGGAGGTACCGGTTGTTTGGGAGGCCGAGTGGCCTCGAAGTCACCGCCCAGGAGGCAAGCAGGCTGCTATAGCCAGAGGCCGAGGGAAGAGCTCGACCTCATTCTTCAGTGTGCGAGTTGGGCGTCACACTGCTGGAGCGTTGGTTGGAAGAGTGCTAGTTGATACATCGCTGTTGGGAGGAAGAAGCCGGGAGTTTCCACCTTGGTTATGGTGGAGCTCTACCGGTAGGGGGAGGAGGGAGAAGGGGACCAAGGAGGAGAGTGGCGAGGTACTTACGTGGCTATGGTGGACACCATCTTCATCACCTTGTTAGGCGCTGCATCTGGAAGGCCACCGTTGGGGTAGTGCCGCACCAAGGAAGCTCGGGGCAGAGACAAACATGGTGGCCTAGTGAGCAACGGCATAGCTGCTTTGCGTTGTCCTTTACATAGGGAGGCAGCAACATAGCTGCTTTGGGTTATCCTTTGGACAGGAGGGTAGAGCCCTTAGTGCTTCGCCATAACGTCGGCCTGCATGTTGAGGAAGAGGAAGGGTGGCCATAGCTATTGTGGACTTCAGGTTGTGCCTGCAGTAGAATTGGGATTCAGACATTGATTCTGGTTCAGCCTTTCAACATTATTATTGTTATTTATTATTTGAATAAGAGAGGAGGAGATGAGGAGGAGGAGATTG